AAAAAAATCATTTTTTGTTTGTTTTCTCTTTTTTCCCAAAATGCATTTTCTTAAACAAATTCTCAATTTAGCTTGGGAGGGGGAGGGGGTTTAACAAAGAGGGAAAAAGCTTACATTACACGTTAAACAGTCTGCCAAGATGAAATCCACAAAAACAATTGCATCAGTTCAGAAAAAGGGGGGAAGTGTGTAACAAAGTATTATTTTCCTATTTTGCCGCTGTCCTGCATCATGTCTCAGTAAACCATGCGTTTCACTCCCCCACATCCACTCAACAAACACCAAGTTCTGATATCTGCAAAGATAATTTTTTTTTATAAAAGAAAGCAAAAACATTTAGGCCAACTGAAGCCTTAGTTCTGGTCCAAATTATATAACCTTTTAAAGATTATTTATATAAGAACAGTTAATATATTAATGACTACTGTATTTACAAAGTGAATATAAATCTTTAGTTAATACGTTAAATATTTTCTTTCATAATTTCAATAAAGGTTTAAATGGAACAACAGTAGAGTGTACATTTGCGGCATGGGTTTGATTTTACTGGCTTGCACCTGCACCTGCATTTATGACTATCAACAAACCATAACTGTACTCTGTCCGGTCTTCAGGTCTGTTACTGTAAAGGGAAGCTGTGTAAGAAAATCTGCATTGAACAGGATGGAGCACAGTGGAATGTCTATCAATTTGCATTTATAGCAGATGCATTTAAAAAAAAAAAAAAAAAAAAGAGTTTAGCCGAGGCCGATCCCCTTACACAATTATTTACACACGCACACTCGCTTACAGGGATCTTCTTAGTGGCAATAAAAAGCGCTTTTGCCTGGCAACTGACACAATAAAAGTTCTGTCTTCCTGCGGCTGGACGTCTGCTCGCTCTCCTGGGCATCTACAAAACGCTGCACACCCGCAGCTGATCGGGAGATGGAGATGGATGGACGGGCAAGTGGAAGTGAGTGACTGTGGGAGAGGAGGAGGGAGGGAGGTTGTTGAGAGCTGAGGAACACCGTACAGTCTCACCCGAGGGTGGGCAGAGGGCCCCAGACAACAACAGCTGCCCCCATTCTGACGGCACAAAACAAAAAAGGGCTCCCTTGGTACCCCCGGCGTCTGGGCCACCCAGCCTGCCGCGGGGGAGAGTGCACCAGCCCTCTGAGCCCTCCCCCCTCAATCCTCCCCTCTCTTCCTCTCCCTGCCTGCCCGGTGCTGTTTGTTCAGCCAGGCAGAATAACGGGAAGCAAACCACCCTGGACTAACTGCTTTCACCTGCGACCCACATTCTTCGATGACGCTCTGACAAACATGGTGGGGATAAAACCGTCTGCTAACAATGAAGTCAAATGATACAAAAAAAAAGCCCAGAAAAACAGGGACAGCCTGCAGCTTTGATCATCTGCTGGGAACGCTGGGGCCATTGTTCTGCCTGAATGCCTGCACCACACTGACACACTCGAGTGTGTGCAGGCATGTTAGGATGTCGTATGTATTATGGCAACAGAGTGCAGCTACTGCACATGTGAGACCCTGTCTTTCTTATTTCTCAGAAAAGCTACACCAGCTCAACCGGCCCCCGTGTCCAGACACATTCCTTTCCCAGGGGACTCTGGGGGAGGAGAGCGTAATAAGTGCATAACACTGCTCGTGAGCTTCTTCAAGCCTGAAAGGAGCACAGTGTTTCCTGTCTTGCCCAAAGCGAGTGAAAACCACAGTGTTAAGAGTTTCCTAGCAGAGGGCAATGGTGCTAGCGTACAGCGATGGAAGGTGTGAGGTCTCGGTCGGGTTAGAGGAGACACTGGGCAGCTGGTGGATCAACCAACACGCTGTTTGGTCTACAACAGGAGAGTCCAGGTGGTGCCCAGCAGAGCGAAGAGGAAACCAGTCTGTGTTCGGAGCAGCTGTGGTCCAGGCCAGGCAACATCCTAGCTAGCTACCTTGTAGGGGTCACACTCAAAACACTCACTTCAAGTTCAGTGTCACTATTGGCATATTTTCATGAGGTTTTGCGACATCTGCAAAATGTATCTTTTATACAGTAAAGGTCTTTCTCCTCCATACAGACTCGACATTTTGACATGTTGTACTTTTGTTTCTGTGTTTTATGAGAAGCAAAGAAACTGTATTGAAATGTAAATGCAGTTTCCTGCAGTCGCTGGTACTCGAGCGTTTGGGCATTACGTACAGAAAGACAGAGGAGGCTTGCAACCCGGCAGCATTGTGTGTCCAGGAGCACCGGCTGCTGTGCCAAGTAGTAGCATGAAGTGACGTCTGTGTGGAGCTGAGACAAGAGTCTGAAGTCCGCAATCTCCAAGCCATTAGCTTCAGAACCAGAGAGAGACGGGAGAGGAAGGTGGGAAATGCCAAGGGAGAAAAATAGTGATGGGCTAAGTTGGTTTCTACCTAACCAATCTCCTGTCTATGAAGCAGCTGTTTGTTCAGTAAAAACTATAAATTAAATCAAACATACATGCCCAAAAATTTTTTAAATACTGTTTAAAGAGTAGAGGGAAGCAAAAAAGAAAAAAAAGTATAAACCATAAAACTTTTTAAGAGATGTTAAATTACAAAAACAAAACGTCAGTCCTACACTGAAATAAAAGGGGAGGAGGGTGAGATGCGCAACTTAAAAACAGCCTGAGGAGATGTGGAGCTCCTTTCTGCTTCAGGCTGATTTATTTGTGTCTGCAGAGTTGGCGGGTAATGGGGAGAGGAATGAGGGAGGGAGGGGGAGGCGCCTGGAGGGGTGGCAGTTACTTTTGGCCAGCCGCTGGGGCCTCTGAGATGGAGGAAGAGCAGGGTGGGGAGTGGGCGTTGGGGAAGGGAGTGGGAGGAGGAGAGGGGCTGCCTCCCATCGTGCCAGACTGGGCCATCTGCTGTTTGAGCTGGGCGATGGTGCGCTCCAGCTTCTCTCGCGCCTCCCGCTCTCTGCACAGCTCCTCCTGCAGCTCCTGCCGGTCTGCCTCCGCCCGCTCCAGCCTCTGACGCAGCTCTGACAACTGTAGGGAGACGAAGAGACACACAAGGCCAAGTTATGACTACAGCACATCAGAAGACATTCAGTCGAACATTTAACAGCAATCTGTCAAAAGTCCTGCTGCTAACTCCAGATGTAGACACCTTAAGAGTCGGACAGTACAAGACTCCATTAAGATTTTCAAAGATTTTTCTTGGTTTAGCTGCCACTAGTTACGTATTGATTTCTCTATGGATAAATGTATTACATCTGTCAGGACACTGTAAAAAAAAAAAAACACTCATCAATGTGTACTAAAGCCAAAAATTAGATCGTGGAATTGCTTGTTGTGTTTAACCAATAAGCCCCAAATTAGAAGGACAATTGGTTTATAATCACGTAAGACAAAATCCGTAAAATCGCAATTCATTTAAACTCAGTCTTGTAAAAACATAGCAAACCATGTACATGTACACAAAGTATCTACTGGTGCTGCATTGTATTTTGTGATGGTCAAAATTTGGGCAGAACCTGATTGCAGAGATATGAACTCCGATGGTTTGTTGCTCTTTCAGCCGTCAGTGGTCACATTTTAAGATGCATGTGAACATAACCCTGTGCACCAGGGCCAAGTAAACATTTATCTGTCACTGGTCAACATGAATGTTTTAGGATGAGACAAAGCCACTTCAATAACATAGGTTTGAAATGTATGTCTATGAAGACAGCAGTAACTTAATCTAAGCACCAAGGTGCCCTCATTTTACTATTCTTTACTTTGAAAACATGTTAAATTGTAAAAAATAAATAAATAAATAAATCCTTCACAAAATGTCTATAGTCAGGCCAGCATTAGTCTCATAACCACTCAAATATATGCACAGCCTCTTTCCTCGCTGGCAGAGAGTCTGAGTTAGATGCCAATGGGAGCAGGGCAGCAGGAGCTTCCACAACAGACAGGAGGGAGATCCTGCAGCCCTGAGCTCAGGCCAACATAACAGAGCAAATCTCAAGATCAAGTCTGGTGGGAAACCAAACAAAGGTCCTGCCTGTTAGTTTTTATGCTCTTTACAGGCACAGTAGCACAGGACATGCATATACATGCAAAAGATTTCTTTCTAATGAACATATTTAAAAGTTTAAAAGTATTTTTCCATGCAATCTATATCAAGTGTTCCTGAGTGATTCATTTAAATGTACATATATGCTAATAGACTATAAATAAAATAAATCAATTAACTGTAAATGTTTGGCAAATTCTACTAAGCATTAATATGTGTGCTGATGTTTCCCATGTTTACTACTGGAGTGTTGCACTGTTAGGGTTGGAAAGGACATATGTTAAGTGAGGAAAGTCAGTGTGGATACTTAAACATCACTGCAATTCACTGTTTTTTTGATACCAAAATCAGTGCTGGGGTTTATATGTGGTCCCCTCTAAGCCCGTACCTGTGCAGTGTAGTGGGCCTCTTGCTGGCGCTGTGCCCCTGGCTCGCAGGCGCAGGCCTGCTGTCGGAGCTGCTCCAGACGGGTCTCCAGCTCCAGCTGCTCCTGGCGGGCCTGGCTGAGCTGCCGTGCCTGCTCACTGTGCACCGCCTCCAGCTCGCAGCGCAGCTCCCGCTGTTCGGCGCTCAGCTCCCGTAGTCTTGCCGCTTCACCCCCGCGCAATGCCTCCAGCTCCTGGAAACACAGAGATGAAGTTAAAGAAAATAATAACAATCATGTGTTTCTTCATTGACCCCTGTAGGGAAAACAATTTACATTACAGACACTCCACAAGGAGTTCTAATGTTTGCCTTGTACTTTTCATTCAGTGTGCTTCCCAAAATCTGACAATCAAAAATGACGTGTGTAGATTTTGACCTTTTATAGTAGTATAGTAAAGACACAAATGGAAAAACTTTTACGTATATAGCTTCAATTTATTTGGAAGTTTTGGAAGTTGCTTTCATTTTCTTTCATCTTCCATTTGGTAACTAATATAAAATTCTCTAATGGTGGACATCTCATTTTAGATTATAAAGCAATTCTCTTCAAACCCATTAAAGGGTTTAAATAAAGGGACATAATTCTGCAGTAGATGTAAATGTTACTATAATGTAGGTCATCTCTATTTCCCTATATCCCATCTGAAATGAAATTTGAGTGCTTTAATGGTATGTTATACTGGTGAAACGCTGTGATTCATGACCTGTCCGGCCGACTTGAATTATCAATGGTAGAACCATCTGATACCAACATGTTTCACGTGATAGGACGAGCGATGGAGGGGTCACTGGAAGGTGAACATTACCTCCACATCCACGCCAAGGACACTTCTAACAGGCGGGAACAGTTATGGTCTAGTTTATCTTGGGCTCATTTATCTTAGTCTTTGTTCTTTCCAGCTGCCGACTCACCATTTCCAGCTGCAGCTGCTTGTGCAGGGTGGAGTTGAGCTTCTCCTGCTGCCTGCTGTACATCTGCATGATCTCCACAACAATCCTGTCCTTGTCGTCCTCCAGCCCCCCCACCACCACTGCGGCGCTGCACGTGGCAGAGCTCATGTCCTTAGCTGCTACCTCTGTTACCGATGACAACAACGACGCGGGAGGAGGAGGAGGGGTGTGGGTGGGGATGTGGGTTGCTTTCTTGGAGCCCGGACTGCTTGTCTCCATGGAAACTGCCTGGGTTTGGCATTCCCGTTCGGTGGCCGAGACAGCAGCGGCACGTTGGGATTTGGCCTCCTCGGCGGCGCCAGCAGCGACAGGAGGCGACGCGTGAAGATCTGAAGACGGAAAGGAGAGGAGGATGAGCAAAGAAGTTTAAAAAAAAAAAAAAAAAGAAGAAGAGGAGGAGGTGGTTGAAAGACAGGAAGTGCGAGCCGTGCTGGTGCACACTCCCACCCACGCTTAGTAACACCCTCGCACAACCTCATAAAAGCTCACACTTCTTCCTCAGCGTGAGCACACACACAAGCACAAGTACGGCATGGCAACAGCCGAGGAACCAAACACTCGCCCACAAATTTTCTGTGTGTTTGCCCTCAGACACACAGAGAGAATAGAGAGGAATAAAAGGCCTTGTGTGGGAGCTTCGCTGCTCTGCGTGGGCTCCTGCTCACTTCAAACTCTGACTTGCTCCCTTGCTGCGGCCTTTAAGGTGTGCATCATGGGAAAAGACGAGTCGAGTGGGAATCTGTGGCAATATCATGTTTTGGTTTGAGTCAGACTCTTGGTGTTACAATTCACTCTATTCAAAACGATTCTTGATTCAATAAATAGAAAGGAGGGCACTAAATTTTAGCTCCTACTCCAGTTCACCGAGTCCTGTCCTTTGCCAGCTGACTGCTCAACGAAAAGGGTTGTGATGAAGATCACTGTCTGAGTAACAAAACTGCATTAACTTTAAGTCATCATATACGGTTTATTTTCTGTATAAAACTTGTGAAATAAAGTGTAATTTGCTGACCATCATCAGTGACTAAATATTTTATAATGACATAAGTTGTGTTCTGGAGGAGGAGTGGGTGGCAGGGCACTCGGTTGGTGCCAACCCTTTGAATCCCATGAAAAGACATGGTATCTTTTAAAATCTGCAAATCTACATCACCCATTTGAGCCGGAACAGTAAAAATAGAGAGAATCACTGGATTTTCAACTAAGCATATTATGTATGACTTTAGTTTTCTTGGAAAAGATTTAAGCTTAAAAATCCTGATATTTCATCTAAAAAACTTCTAGACACTTTCAATTTTTTTTATTTTATAAATTGTTCATAATGCTGTAAAAAGCAAAAAATTTCTGCGCCTCTCTGCCTAAACTGAGAAGTCATGGCTGACTCAGCTATGACCAAAAGTCACATGTCAGAAATTTAGAGATGTTTCAGCTGAACTGCAGGCTGTGTTCACACAGAGCAGATAGGACACAAGCATTGAAACTAATTTAAAATATGTTTACAGGACAACAACACCTAGGGGGAAAATGTTGTATAATCAATAATCAAACACATTAAACTTTATTTTTTTCTTTTGAGGGAATTTATGGCAGCTGTGTCATTCTGCAATAATAACATTTCTGAGTTCCCTCTGCGTCTAGCCATGATTGTACTATTTCCATAGAGGGGCAGGACTTATATTGCAGTGAAAATGAACCCACAGTGAGGAAAAAAAGTGACAGGAGCAAAAAAAAACAACCCAGAAACTGTGTCTGAAACCTGTGAAAGACATTTTCTAAAATGCTGTTCAGACACAGAGCCTTTGAATTCAATCAGATTACTGATTTATTATCGTCACTCCAGGAGTTAATTGAGGTTTTTGTGAAGTGTTGCAGTGCTGCAGTGTGCGTTGGTCAGTGTTGGAAAGATTTCTCCCACCCCACACACGTGCACAGATGTTGCAGTGGGACATGCAAATTCTGATAATGATGTCGTGTTTGAAGCAGCATAAGCCTAAGCACAGAAAGAGAAGAAGAAATAGTGAAAGAGTGACAGAGGGAGCACGAGAACAGTGGGTTGTTTACCAGCGTAATGTATTCATACAGTATGTGTGTGACAGGAAACAGCATGCTCTGTACACAGCATGTCTGACACTGGAGAGGACACTCATTTACTGACTCAAGCTGGCTTGCGCATGTGCGTATACACACTAACACACATACACACCCACATGCATGCTTGGAGCGGCGCACACACACGACAGCAGAAGCGCACAAATAACGGGAGTGAGTCATTTGGTGGTGGATCAAAAGGAAATAAGCAGGAGAGAGAGAGATAGAGAGAAAAAGGGCCACAGCAGAAAGAGTGAACGGCTCGAAGACAGACTGGCAGAGGAGAAGCTTGCAATGAAGGGAGAAAACAAAAAGGAAAAGAAAGGGGGGAGGGTTTGACAGCAGACTGAGAGGGAGGTGGAGATGAAGGGAGCTGGAGAAGAAAGAGACAAGGATGGATGGATGGAAGAGGAAGTGCGGGAGCAGACTGAAAACCGACTCAGAGAGGATGTAGAGATAGCTGCCAGGAAGCGAAAGAGAGGGAGGATGGAGGGAAGAGAGACAGATTGGTTAGAGAAGAAAAAGGGGAGCAGAACGCCTGAGAGATATGAGAGAGAGAGAGAGAGAGAGAGAGACAGAGAGAGAGACAGAGAGAGAGACAGAGAGAGAGGCTGGCAGTCAGACGTGGCGTAATAATGGCAGACGGAAACCATTGCTGTGATTCATCCTCTCCCTCTCTCTGTATATATACACACCTTATTAATGCAAGAGTAATATACACTTAAATGTACACATAAAAACACACACGCTGCAGAGAAGAGGTCATTGCCATTTCCACCCCTCTTGTTCATCAATAGTGAGGTGCCCCCAGAGTCTTTATGTGAAGGTCAATGCATGATTATGTGCATCACTGCAGGCTGCAATGTTAAGTGTGTATGTGCGCATGAGTGTGTGTGTGTGTGCGTGTGTGTGTGTGTGTGACATGCAGGCTGTATGTTTACAGTAAGCACGTGTCTGCTCTTTGAGTGTGTAGCATGAACACGATCTGCATGTCGCTTCTGCTTATGTTGTGTGCATGTAGATTGCTCCTGCTTGCTGTATGTGTGTCATGTATTTTTAGTAGGCATGTGTCAGGCTTGTTTCTGTGTCTAATGTACATACAGGAGGGTCTTTATTAAATAATTATTCATATTTATTGTCATCAGTGTTGTTATCTATAATTGTTTGTGGGAATCATTTAAGCTAAAATTGAGTCTTCGATCACATTAAGACACGGAGAGTATATTAATGTCTGAAAACATAACCTTCTTCCAAATTATGCTTTCCAGGGTTTTCTAGATTTTTCAACCAGAAAAGACTTGAGGCAAGAGTTGTAGTCAGCTACTGTTACTGTAATACACTGCATATAAATAGTTATTATCTGTATCAGTGGTGTAAAACTAGAGCATTGTAATGCTTCAATCCACTTCTCCATTTAGCATTTACAAGCTCTATCTGGACGATATGAAAAAAAGATTTACAATGAGAATGTGAAATGCTAATTTTCACATTTCTTTTCACCTGAAAAAAAAAAAACATTCAAAAACATGTGATTTTTGCTGCAGTCTGTACCAAACAAGCCTGTTCTCTTGTGTCTGGAGAATAAGATTAGTAATCCAGGCATTTCTGCAGCACCACGCTGCTTCATTTATAATGGTATACAATGTATTGCGATAATATTTTTGAATATTTTTTTAGTCCTAAGTACGCAGATCTATGAATGTTTGTTGTGTAAAGTGTTTGTAAAGTTCTAGTCTATGTGAACAATTATAAATCTTCCTATCAAGAAATATTTGAAACTTCACTACATTGTCGTGCTGTCCTGATGATTATTAAAACCTGCAGAGTAACGACACAAAGTCTGTTGACACATACTTATGATGTACGCCTCCCTGTTAATCCCTTCTTTTTTAAACTTTAATCCTTCTTCTGAACACTGAGTTTCTGAGTTTTTATCCAGAGCATCAGAAACTTTTCTTGGAGGTTTTCTTTGTTTTGCCACCAATAGGTTTCACCATACTCCTAGTTGCTGGAGCCCCATCTGTCTCCATCACTACAGTTACTTCACTTTTCAGCTGTGGCTAACCATATCATTGCTGGTTAATGCAAAATGCATTCCTACCGGTGCACAAGTGTCACCACAGATACCAGATTTAAAACTCCAGTATGCTGTGAAATGTGGAAAGATTTAACACTGAGAGGCTCAATCAGCATTGTGTCATCTCTTTTTTGCGTCAGTGGAATAAACGCATGTTAAAGTCCTGCTCTCTAGCTTTAAGAAAACACATTTGCTTTATGGAGTGTCTTTTAAGCACTCATTCAAAATTTTACTTTACCTGCTGTCTCGTGTTCAGCAAGACTCTGAAGGTCTCTGGACATACTGGCTTATATCAAATACAGTAGATCTAAGGTCTGTTATTAATTGGATACACTGGAAGCAATTTCCTGCCCTTTCATCCATTTGCTGCTTTGCCATTTTCAAGTTTTTTACTTGCATGAACATAATTAGAGGGTGTCAGTTGTTGCATTTACTTTCACAAAAAGGTCAAGTAAGAAAGGGTATAATTTTATGTATTATTCTATTTCTGTATTGTTAGATTTAAGTGCAGCTCAGTTATTTCCTCGCTCACCATTTTCCTGACTGCATGTTATCTAAAGAGATGACAATTTCAGGGTATCTTGGCAAAGAAAGTGAGAACGTGACATTAAATCTGATCGTATATTACTTCTTATGTCCACATGACCTTGATCAAGTTCAGAGCACAATACCTCACTGACCGGCTTATCCAATATCAGATCTTAGTTAAATCTATGGTTGGCAAAGTGATTTTTTGGTTTCTATTTGCTATAATACTTTGCCAGATTTGTATGACTACTGACCCAGTGGTGGCTCGTCGTGGCCCAGCACTCTGCGACTGTAGTGGTGTTTGAGAAGCGCTCCGAGCATCTCAGGGCTCATCTCCGCCTCCCTCCGCAGTGACACATTGGGAGCCACCATCTTATCATATGTGTACAGGTAGTAACTGGGAGAGGGAAACAGAGAGAGAAAGAGGACATTTAAACACTGAAATGACACAAATGAAGACAAATATTTTCTCATTTCAAAACAGCTGGTGTTTTATTAGTGCTTAATAATCATTTAAATTTAATTCCTCAATCACACAAAGGTGTGATCTGCTGCTAATTATGTAAATGCTGGATTAAGCATCTGTTCTGTCCGCTTTTGTTACTCTAATCACAGTGGTAGCAGTGTCACCTTTCACACACTCCTCTCGGCAGTAAAGATCGCAAATTGTTACGAGTTATGGACTTAGCAATGTTGATGCACATAAACCAATATATATATGTAACACAACAATAGTCATTGGGTGTCTGTTTTAGCCCAAAGTCACGGTACCATCTGAAGGCAGGGGCTGAAACACAGCGTGGAATATGGATATTTCTTATCATGTGTTTACAGGATCTCAGTCTAAACAGACCTTCAGCTTATCACAAATGTCCAGGTAGAGAGTACAACTGAGAGAGAGATAGCGCCCGGAGATGCTCTGAAGCTACTAAGCCAACACTATCTGTCTATTCCTGGCTACATGGTGGGAAAGGAGGAAAAGGAAAGATGAGAGAGGAGAGGAGAGGAGAGGAGAGGAGAGGAGAGGAGAGGAGAGGAGAGGAGAGACCCCTCCCCCACCAGCAGTCCCCTCCAGACAAGGCTGAGGCTGAAGCAGTGAACTAGGTTAAGCATGACAGCTCAGTGGGACTCTGCCTGAAAAACTACAGCACTACCAGCCAAGCCTTGTTTCCTCTCCTCTGGATGGAAATGAAGCACTGCCTGCTCGCCTGAATGGGAATCTGAAACTCCTTCACATGAAACGGCTCAGAAGTGATTGAATAATGTAAGCCTGGCTCCTATTTGACACGTGTACCGCTAATGGATGTTTGGAGCAACTCCGATACGATGTTAAGTGCTCTGGATGTCTGGCACAACGTCCGACTGTAGCAGGGCATTTTATTATTACTAACACTGCGAGGCAAAATACATGCTCTGAACTGGTCTGCGTAAGTATTGACTGGTTTGAAAGTGTAGCAGTCATGTTGGCAGGTGACCAGAGCTCTAATCCCCCAATTTGTCTGGCTCGCCGTCTGTGGGCCTCCTCAGTATGTCAAAGGCAATCACATGTAGCTATGGCGCCAAAAACCATCTAATTCCAGACTTTAATCTGAGTCAGATTACTGTCTTTACTATGAGAGAGCCATATCCAAACACAGTCTGTTGCCCCCTGGGAGAGATGGAGGGAGACACCCAGAGCGGTACATGTGAAGGAGGCGGGAGGACAAGGTGGGAACAGAGCAGGTGAGAGAGTACAGCAGCAAAAAATCTGATATGAGAAAGAAATTGAAATTTAAGATTACTGTGTGATTATTTCACTTAAGCAGAAGGACACCTACAGTATCTGGCACTAAGATTCAGGCGCAGGCTTCTACAGATAACACAAGGCCAACTGGCATGGTTTCAGGTATTGAAAGCTGCTTAAACAACTGACAGAAAATGAATCTGCAACAATTTTGATATAATTTTTTAAGCAAACTTCTCCAAATGAGCTTTTGAAATGAGGTCTTGCTGATTGTCTCTGCTATGTATCTTTGTAAATTAAAAATCTTTGGGTTGTTGACTTTTATTCTGGTTAAAACAAGACATTTGGACGCATCAGTATTTTCAGACATTTTAACTTACAATTAAATATGTTATACAGATAATTTGATAATGACACTAATTGTTAGTTGCAGTCATTTAAGAGTGTAGCACTGTAGTTGAATCGAGGTTAATAAGGTGTAGTACCTGGGATGGACCAGGGTGGGGTGTCCTGGCTCCTCCTTTATGTCTGAGAAAAGACGGTTAAACACCAGAGTAGGTGTAGATGTTTTCCCCTGTGGAAAAAAAACAACACATAAATATGACACCCAACACCAACATATTGTCTTGTAAGGGTATTGTGTTATGGTTACAAAGGTCCAGAAAGGCAGTTCTTCAATCCACATTTATTGATCTGAGCATCAACTTTACAGTTGAATAGATACATTATTACAATGGCAATCAGATGCATGTCCACGCACACGCACACATGCACACACATGGATATGTGGAGAGAAGCAGCAGGAGAAGAAGGGAATGTGCTGTACTGCACATGGCGCTCTGGGAGCCTTAATCTAATAAAGCTAATATATGCATGCATACATGTGAATGAGGGATCATCCATCAGGCATCAGCTGAGACACTGTGCATGTGCGTGTTTGTGCACGAGTCAGAGAAAAAGATAATCATGATTAAGAGCTTCTTCCCTGCATGTAAAGTTGGTGTGTGTGTGTAGTGATGGGGGAGGTGAAGAGCAGAGCCGTTCAGCAGCTGAAGGAGTGTGTTTCCTGACAGGTCAGAGAGGAGAAGCGTGCCGCTATGAATGGGTGAACAGGGGGTGTGTCTGTCAGTGGGGGTGTGGGTGGTGACCCTGAGAGGCTGACCTGTATGTAGAGGAGGGGGAGGGGGAAGAAAGGTAGGAGGTGATGGAGAGCGGGCAGACGCACAGAGGGAGGAAACTGACAACTGACCTTTCTCGCAGGGTCGGCATCAGCCAACTTGTCGCTAGTGGAGCAGAGATCTGCCGAGGATTTCCTCACCTGGCTCTCCTCCTCTTCCACTGCCTTCTGAAATGCATAGAGAGAGAGAGAGACAGTGGTTAAAAAGACCGACAAACACGCCCCAAGGTTAAATAGAGAAAGAAAGACACAGCAATATAATGCAGTGCAGAATGCATTTGTTAGAAGTCTGAACAATTAAAATGACTGACTGTCAGGGAGCGTGGGAACAAGAGGAAGAAAGGGTAGAGAAAAAAATTACAACTGGCACACAGTCACAGAGGGAAAGGATAGAGACAAATGGCATTTAAACGATGGGAAATAGAGACAAATGACATCCAAGAGATAGAAAATGGAGACAAATGGCATTAAGAGTGAACAGCAGTAAGTGAGCTATGGCCTGAGCCGGCCATGATACAGTGCAGTAGAAAACGAAGGTGGCGGGAAAATGGATAAGGTAAGAGAAGGAGCTGAATGAGCCTGCTGAGGAAGGCCTATGAATAAAACACAAGAAAAGCAGAGCTGATAGTCAACATGGAATGCTGCCATGTGCTTCTGTGCATGTGATTCATTGGTATACATGCAATGATGTTTCAGTCAACCTCTCACTCAACGCAAAGACGTACACTTGTTTGTGTTGACTCCTTATGATTCATTGTGTCAGCTTCGTAGCCTTCGAGTCTGACTGTGTTCAGTAGATACTGCTGGTTCTGCCTCTAGTTGTGTGTTTGTGTGCCTGTGTGTGTATGTGTTTTTGAGCAAATCCAGGACACGCACAGCAAGCGGCCACAAGCTGATGGAGTTGATGCTTATCTGTGGCAGACGGGCCTGACACTACACACAGGCTGCCTGCAGTTCACACACACACTTTCAACCCAACTGACAAGTCGCACAAGCACCAGAGGAACAAGAATTTCCAGCATTGCTATACGAGCCGCTAGGTAGGCCACAGCAACAGACAGAGTGGATTAAGGAGGGAGATGTAGAGAGGAGGTGGGATGAGAAGGGGGTGTGGAAGAAGAAGAAGAAGAAGAAGAAGAAAATGAGAGCAGACGAAGAGAAGAGAATTCAATGAAGAGAAAAGTGCAAAAGCAGTGGCCAGAAAGAAGATGAGAAGGAGAGATAGTGGTTGTAGAAAGCATCAATAATTGACTTACTACCCTTTTAAAGCCATCTATAAACGTTTATCCACAGAATGCACATGCATGCACACACACACACACACACACAACCAGACACAGTAAATAATAAACAGTCTTTCATCAGCTGCAGTAAAGGATTTTCCTCTGTGCTCTACTGGTTAAGACACGCTGTCATTACTTGAGCTAAACAGCCTCAGAACAATGCTGGCAAATTACTGTGACAACCAGGTATCAACAACGTGTCAACTACCCTCGCTACTCGTCCAGAAACAACAATGTTCAGCAGTTTTAGCCAGTATTATACCCAGAAATGCTAATTATTCACATGCTACATGGGAGAATATATATTTTTTAATATTCAAATCAATTTATTATTATAGAATCAAATCTCAAAAAACACTTTCTGTTTTACTGCCCTGCATACTGGTGAAGCCAGAACTTCTACTCTGTTAATGGAACTATTTGGCATTAAGTAAAATTGAAGTCTTTTATTAGGCAAAAAAAATGTAGAATAATTAACTAATAACAGCCTCTCTAATGTGAGGATTTGCTGCTTTTCTCTGCTTCTATCATTGGAAATTGAATATCTTAAATTTTGCTTTTGGATTGTGGCCAAAGAAAACAAGCAACTTGAAGACATCCCATCAGGTTTTGGGAATTTGGCAACCTTTTAACAGTCTGAATAATGAAACGTGTAATTACAAAATAAGCATTAAAAAAAGAATCTGAATATCAGAAATGATAACTTGTTGTTGCAGTGCTGGTTTTACATTTCTTCCTGCAACTGCAACAAATTGCATATCTCCAATGCTTCTCTTTATGGAAACACCAAAAACAACTAGCAGTGCTATTTGTGTATGAGCTCACGTTTGTATGTAGGGGATAGTCCCTTATTTACAAGGGCATGGATGAATGAGCATGTGCATGCAAATGTAAAGGCTGGAGCCATATGCGTAGCCAGGTGCGTCTCGCTGTGTGTATACAGAAGGGGGCTCGTCCGTTTACGAGCGCTTGTGGTTGGTGTTTTTTCCTTATTTTTCTCCAGAAGGCAGCACTGCAGCACTGAAAGGAGGGGGAAGGGAGTGAAGGCTAGCAGGGAGAG